ATTTTTTTCTTGAAAGATCATGGCCTAATCTATGGCTGTCTCTTATACACATCTAGATGTGTATAAGAGACAGCATTAGCATTCATCGATCCTGTCCCACAACAATCTATCCTGTCAGCTGGCCCGTTCTCAGTGAAGATCAGCAGTTGGCAATTAAGTCCAGTTTATGTTGCAGTGAGCAGAAGATTAACACGACCTTTCTGCTATTGGGGGAAGCATGCAATTGGCACCGATAGATTCAGAGCCAAATGACCAGAAGGTTTTCACTGCAGCAAGTGGGTCTTTCACTGCAGCAAGTTGGTCTGCTCCATGATGCACAGTGTGAAAACACATGAGTAAGGTCAGATGACCAATGTCTTCCTTTGGAAATGCGAGAGTATAGTCGGGCGGCTTGGGCCACTTTTTTCTTTCGCTAATCACAGAGGAGATATTGGAGAAGCAGCAGGGTGGAATATCAACTGCTTCTGTGTTAGGAGCATTCTGGAGTTTTCAAAAAAAAAAAAAAAAAAAAGGAGCATTAAGGACTCCAATTTGTTGGACAATCTGCAAAATAATGGCAGCTGCTCTTGATTCATTGCACGAAGACAAATTGTCTTCGTGCTGACTTGTATTGGGGACCAAGTCGTCAACAATTTGTCCATGATGTTGACAGTTCCTCCTTATCTGTTTATTTGTAGATCCAGGAGAAGGCTGCAGTGTCATTGGGAGAGTGGTAGGCGGGTGCAGAGGTGGTGTGACTGTGTGGAATGGATGCCATATCACAGTTCCATTGACGTTCCGTCCCAGTCGAGGACGATCTCAGAACAATACTACGTTCAACCTCGGAGCAGCCTAACTCTTCTCCCTTAGCCATTCTGCTAGTCGCCGTTGACTGTGATTGTCCTCGGCGACTCTTCGCAGGCATTCAGGAGGGTAGAGTGGTAGGAGGGTGCAGAGGCGGTGTGGCCATGTGGAATAGAGATGCCGTATCGAAGTTTGGTTGACGTTCCGTTCCCCTTTCCCGGCGATCTCAATCCTCGGAGCAGCCTAACTGTTCTGCCTTATCCACTCTGCTCGTCGTCTGTCGACTCTGATTGTCCTCGCAGGCAATTGGGAGAGTAGAGCGGTAGGAGGGTGCAGAGGTGAGGTGGTGTGGCTGTGTGGAATCAATGCAATATCACAGTTTGGTTGACGTTCCATTCCCGTTCATGGACGATCTCAATACTACGTTCATCCTCGGAGCAGCCTTAGCTGTTCTGCCTTATCTACTCATCTCGTCGTCAGTTGACTTTGATTGTCCTCGTGGGCGATATCAGAGCACCATGCTGACACAGCTTGGAATTCATAAAGTATAGTATGGTTCTGTGGGAACAAGACATACGTCATGGATTGGCATAACATAAGCCACCTGGGAAGTGAGTTTAGCGGAGCAAAGAATGGGGGAGCGTCTTTGGGGGAGAAGAGAACCGTGAGGAGAGTACGGTTGCAAGACTGAAACACTCAGAAGGGATTGACAGGGGTCTGCAGAGGTGGTGGACCATGAGGGAGGGCATTAAAAGAGAGAAGTAGAGAAGCAAAAGCTCTTGCATTACGATATAGGTAAAGATTAT